AAGGGAAGGGAAGGGAAGAGAAGAGAAGAGAAGAGAAGAGAAGAGAAGAGAAGAGAAGAGAAGAGAAGAGAAGAGAAGAGAAGAGAAGAGAAGAGAAGAGAAATCCTGCACAGATGTATCCATAAAATTGCCAGAAGTCAAGTTTGTACTCCAAATAGACTTTAAGTGTAATTATGATTTCAAGTGAAGAAAACACAGTTACATCTTGCTTTGCAGTGCCTTCAGGGAACGAGACGGGTGGGCAAGATGACCCTCTAAGGCTCCTAAATGGTCTTCAGACTACATGGTTGGCCTTTGACTTGCTGTAATTTTACCCTCTCCTTGCGGGGCTGAATTTTGTCCCCAACAATATCAAAGATTGTCCTTTTCTGGAGCATAAGTCAGGGCTTCACCTGTCCCACTCAGTTGGTTGCTTGCTAAATTGCTATATTGCTAAACTGGACCGGCTGACACCCTCTGAATGAAACCCTGGTGCTTCCTATTATTTTCCCACTTTTCACAATAGCTGAAGATCAACCCGAAGTTTCTGGAATCTTTCCCATGCTGCAGTTTTTACAGTTGCTATCTTCACATCGTATCCAGTGCCTGTGCAAATAAACCCTACGTGGTTGGATGTAAGGGGCTAATTCAGAAGATAAGCAAGAATGAAAACCACTTTCTCATAGCACACTGAATCATAAGCTACTTAGTCCTACCTTACTTTAGATTACTATGTGGTGAGTATCCAGCCAGTTAGTTGAGGTTACTCCCTAGAACGTCACGTTTAGAGGTACTCTACCTGGAGCGCCTCTCAGCAGATAGAATCAGATCCAATTGGACGTGCTGAAAACAATCCAAATCAATTTGGTTTTCTAAACAGGATTGGATTCGGAAAGTCAGTGAACAAAAAAGCCATGGATTCTTCTCCAAATCACACAGCCCTCATCCTCAATCTCTTAGCTGGAGGTAGGGTACCATCAAGATAGGGGGAGAGCCATGCTTACCAGGAATGATAAGATATCCCATATTTCGAAGATTGGGAGACAAATGCTGTAAGCTTCATCTATCCCTCTCTACTGGCATGAATGGCTGGTGGCTAGTAGCTCTCCTACTTTTGCCCCCTTGCAGGGTGAGGGACAATAACTTGGGTTTTTGCAGAGAGCTGCTTTTATATCCACAGAAGGAGCAAGCAGTTGAGAAGGGAGTTGGTTGCTCATCTGGCTAAGGGTTGAGGGTCAGAAGAGTTAACTTTTGCTCATCTGGCTAAGAGTTTGAGGGTTGGAAGAGTTAACTTCCAAACCAAAGGGTGATCCTTTAGACTAAGATCATTGGTCAAGTCCGGCTTCTCCTATTTAAGAAGAGTCTTTGCACATTTGTATACTAGCTGTCGTTGTCCAAATATGCATGTTACTGCTCATACGTTCAGGTTCCTCTCAGAAGAGAAGTCTCCCAAAGACTAAAGGGCTAAAATTATAGCATTATAAATTATAATTATAAAATTGGGGTTGCAGCCCACAGCAGCACCATGAACATCACCATTCCCTATAATAGCATCATGCCCCAAAAAGCATCTGTAAACAGCCAGGATGCTTTCTCTTCACAGTGAAATGAATCCAACAGAGGAACTCCCTGACACCTGAGGAAGTGAGCAGGTTGGCTACCCTTGGATCTCTATCCCCCCTTTCCTTAACAAGGGTCAACCTGGAAATAAAACCACAGACAGTGGTGCCATTTGGGTGGGACTTTGCGGGTAAAGTCCCATTGAGCAGAACGAGTGTGATGCATCCATTGTATTACAGCTACCTTACGATGCGTGCCATCAAATGAAGGACCACCTATTCCAGGATGGCAGAGTGGTTAAGGGGTTGGGCAAGGACCGAGGTGCTCCAGCTTCACATGGAAGCTTCCTGGCTGACTTTGGACTAGTCACTCTCTCAGCTCAACTGACCTCATAGCTGTTGCCGTGAAAAATAGGAGGAGGGAACACTACGTACATCATCCTGAGGTCATGAAGAAAGGCAGAATATAAACCTAATAATAAATACATCAGAGTACAATGGGATGAAGCATGAGACCATTAAATCTAGCACGTATGATTATTTAACTGCTCTGCTAAAGACAGATGATGCCTCTGAGAACGTATAGAGCAAAAGCCTCTCCCATCCACTAGACAAAGCTTACCTAATTACACACTCCCCTGTTTGGGACTTCTGCACTGGAAAGTTCAATTTGCTGCATAATACTTACCCGGGAGTGACACTGGAATCCAAAATAGACCACGACTATGGCGGGCATAAGGACCACCGAAAAGATGGCAGCCATCAGAAGGAAGTTCAGGAGAAAAGCAAAAGAGTTCATTGCCCCCACCAGGCAAGTCCATACCCAACAACCACAGGTGCTACGACGCTCCATGGGCAGGAGCTGATCCTCCATGTTATAAGGTGGGAGCGTTTGGATCATGTGTGAAGTGTCAGAGAGGTTGTCCACCTCATAGTCATCAATGTCCTGATCAGACATTTTCGGAAAGATCAAACCAGGTTTGATCTTTTCCCCCTCTCTTCCTCAAGTCCCCCTTTGCCTGAATTTCTCTTCTCTTTTCTGCCCTCCAAAATGGAGAACTCCACTCAGTCTTTCCAGTTAGGTGAGGAGATAGTGGCAGAGGTGGGATTTCCCAAAGTGGTGGCCACTTCCAGGAAACGGGAGACTGGATGGAGGTGGGTTTTGGAGCAGTCTAAGAGGGAAGCTCTTACATGTCCTTTAGGGATCAGGTGGTGGCCTCACATGAAATGGTAGGAGATGGAGAAGACCTTCCAAGAGATGTGATGAACTTTTCCAGCAAGCAGACAGCTCCCAAGGTTTACCTGCCGGAGTTCTTGGTCCAAAAAGATTGCCAGTGTGAAATTTGCCCAAAAAAGGGGGGAAAGGCACGTGTATCACCCTCTGCTTTCACCTTGTGGGCTGAGTTTCCAGCTAGATGTCAGCTTTCCTGGAGTTCCACGCCACTCCAGTCCTCCCTCAGCACTCCTCAAGTCTCCACAGCAGTTTGCCCAGGATTCATTCCGTGATTATCTCAGCAGGGTTCGGTCCTTGGACCTTTCATTTCCCACTTCTTCTCTTCTGTGATGTCCAGAAGCAGGAAGGCTCCTTCCCCCCCACCCTTCTGAGCCAGCTCTGATCGCTGCGCAGCGTTGCCGTTCGCAGGCAGCTGCACTGAATTCTCTCCTGCAGGCATCCAATCCTTAGCTGCTGCTTCTCTCCACCCCTTCAAGCTGCTTACTACACACAGTTGCCATCCAGCCAGGCCCACTGCTGATCTTTTGCTTGGTGTTCCTGGTCTGCGTCTCCTCTTGTGATCGGCGGTCAGGATGGGGGAACAGGAAGGGGGCTGATGAAGGGGAGGCTGGTGGCAGGCAGTAGCGAGGGATGGAAAAAAGAGGGTTCATAACAAGGGATCAGAAAGCGGTCGAGGCTCTGCCTCGTCTACACCAGGTGCCCAATTCTACCTCTGCCTTTGACTTGCAGCTTTTTCGCATTTTGGATTATTTTGGGGACAAGCTGCTCCATTGCAATAGCTCTGGGAGATTTGCAAAAAATACAGTAATAGAGCGTGGCTGCTATTAGTCCATGTTGATGCTAGCTAAGGGGGGTTAGGAGGCTGGCACCATCTCTAAAGGCAACCTTCGTGTTCCACTGAAGGCTTTTCAGAAGTACAAATGAAGAAGTCCCGATATTTCCCATCCGTTGAATTAAACTGGTTGGCTTGAGCATGTTCTGGTTAACTGGAAGAAAGAAACATGGACAGGCTGGCGGATCCCAACATGGATGTGTTTCTACTAACATTAGAAACACGTATCCATAGCCTTAAAAACCAGCCGCACTTCCCTGATCTCAGCGATCTTTGGTTTTGAGAGAAATTCTGCCACGTGGTGGTTGCAGAAAAGCTACCGTATTTGGTTAGCCCAAACCTAGCCTAAATTGAGAGACGCAGGAAGGAGAAACATAACAAGGTATTTTATGCTAGTCACCGCTCAGGCTATTATATCTATATCTATATATCAAGTGGACTGTATGCTTAGAATCATTTCTGGAAGCAACATCGCTTGCTGGCAATTAGCTGCAATAGATAACAGGGACTCTGTCGTTTTAGATATTGACTAGGTTCCCAAGGGGCGCTAAACCAGAGATAGACCACCAGTGGCCCTCAGAGCACCCTGAGATCAGAGTGCCCTAAAGTAAATAAGAACTATTCTGCTTTGCAAACCATGATTGCTACCTTCGGGGCCAATCTGTCTCTTGTGGTGCTCCCAACCTGAACCTCTCAAATAAAGATACAAAAGCCTCAAATAGTCCCGTGAAAATTCAGATGGACTCTCCAAGCGAGAGAGAGAGAGTTGGAAAGGTTGCTTCGGTGTTGATGCCGAGGGAGGACGGCCTCTCCCCGTCCCCACTGCAAAATGTTCCTGCATTTGCCCAATTAACTCCATCAGCAAAGCCCTTTCCAACAGCATGGGCGCAAAGGCGATTCATTGCGCAACTTCCCAAGGGCCTTGTGTGGCTTGCTACCCGTTAATGAGCTATTGACACATCCCCCCCACTGTGCTCCCCAACCACCTCATCGGGGCCTAATAGCTCATTAAAAGATATACAAATAGAGTCCCTGGAGAGCAGGACTGCCTTTGAAGGAAGAAGGGAAGAAATATGCATGTTTCCATATGAGCGTTTAAGGGAATGGTGTCTCTCTCTCCTTTGATCATCTCAGTCTGTGTCTCTGACATCAATGGGAATGGAAAAGAAGTTACTTTGGGGAGAGCCTGTGACTATATTTATGGTTCACGCTGATACATTGGGGGGTTATGGGGAAATTTCATGTCTGTGATGCATAATGCTTCTTTTGAGCACAAGCTGGAATGCCTTCCGTTTTGCTACCTGGTCGAGTTACCTGGGTGATTATTAGACAATGCTAAGATACTTTATTTATTTGATTTATTTATTAAATTTCTCCCCCGCCCATCTCCCCCCAATGGATGTTGGCAGGGGGGGAGGTCTTATGGATGGATTTTCTCTGATGCCCTCCTTGCATCTTGAATGATTCCTGTAGGTGATGCTAGGCTGAATTAGATTCTTTTTATCTGCAGTGCGGGTTGCTGCATTTCCCCCTGTAACACAGGTACAACCAAATGTCTTGCAGTCATTGCAAAAATGACTTGGTCATTGGCCAAGTTGGTCCTCCGAATGAGGATCTCTGGGGAGGCAAAACAGCACCACGACATAAACGGGAATTATCACAGGTTTGGGAAAGACCTAGGGTTTAACACCCTGAGACTTGGGGACTCCAAAATATCCTGACCATAAAACCTTGCCCTGCTTGGTGGTTGGGCTAGAAGATATCCCACATTCCTTCCACCTCTATGATTCTATGATAAGGAACTAGCTGGATGGGTGGAACAAAGCATTTGGGAGATGGGAGTGGCTGACTGACTCAGAGTGGGTACCTTCCACATTGCAATATTGTGTGACATGGTCCCATTTCTGGCCTAAAATGTATAAAGTTAACATATTAAAATGATGGTCTTTGGCTGGGGTTAACCAGGTTAGGAAAGGCATGATTTACTAAAGTGGGTTGAGTGTATGCAGAAGGCTTAGCATGTTCTGTAAAACTAGCCCATTTGATTAGTTTGTGATTCAATATATTGTGCAAATGCAAAAAATAATCCTGAAATTCTACCCCCCCTACTGTTGGTTTAGTGATTGTGATGTCACAGAATGTTCACTAACATTTTTAGCACACCAATTCAATGGATTCTACTGGAAAAAGATCAGCCTGGCTCTCAGGATGGGGTAAGGAACCTCACATGGTAACTAAGAGACATAGAGAATGGGGAATGCGCTATTCTTCTCAGTGGAGTGGAAGCAGCTAGAGAAGCTTGGAGGTTTGGTAGCCATGAAGGCTGGAGAGCTGAAAGGGCAGTTGTCTCAAAGGGTAATCATGCCAGCTTCAAGCTCATGGTGTCTGCAGTGTCTCATTCGTCTTTCTCCATCTCACATCTTGAAGTTGTTTATCCTTCGCATCAGCTTATGTTGAGAAGCTGATAATTGGTGAGGGGAGAAGGTAGAGAAAGGCAGCATGTAAAAATAAAAGAAAGTGCAAAAACTGCCAAGAGGCATCTTAAAAATAGACACTTCAGCTGGCAGCATCAAGTGTTCCCACCAGAGTCATGTGAGGAGAACAATAAAATATAGCTCTCTGGCAGAAAATTAGAAAAGCTGTAATGATTCCTTGGGCACTTCAGAGGAAGGAAGTGGTTTAAGCACTCCCTCGATGTAATGGTATGTAGGAATGACCTTGGGAGACTGGGCCCAGAGACGCTGCCTAGGGAACAGTCAGATAAGAGACAGCATAGCCCACAGCTGGATAATGGGTGGGGCAAGAGGTTCAGAAGGGACCCTCCCTAGTTTCTCGGGCCGTAAAGGAGATGGGAGAGAGAATTGTACTTTCAGACTTGCAAGATTCTATTAATATAACTCTACAATAAAGTAGTATTAGCTCATCTGGTCATGTTTCCTGTATGGTCTACCTGGTAAGGCTGACACACAAATACATTTTGGTCCATGTGGATATCTCCATCCTTGTCCAGAGGAAGCATGTGCTAGGATCAGGATCAAATTCTATTCCTTAACCTACCCAAAAGAATATCACCCCCCATATCAGAAGGAGGAAGTGAGCAAGCTTGGGGATACCCAATAGTTTGCAAAAACTGTGTAAAAGAAAAGTTTAAGGGGCAGAGAGTTGGGGGAGACCCAACTTGGCCTGATTTCTGATTCTCCATTTCTGCCCAAAGCATCCAGAACCAGTCGAGCACAGAGTACTGGAGCTAAAATAAATACTTAAGGAGCTCCTAGAAGTGTTTTCTCCAGTAGGACTGTAGAACCAGGTCAGTTGTTCTAAGTCAGAGCTGGGGAAATGTGTCTGGGCCCCAGTTACTGTCCTTGGTACTGAAGTTGGATTCCTGTTGATTTCTACAAGAGCTTGTCAACACTGTGAACTCATGTGTCACAGCT